ATATTAAATCATTATTTTTATAAAAGTATACGAGCATTTGAAAATAGCATTAACATCGCCATTTCAAAATAGGAAACTAATTGCTAATTAAAGTAGTCAAAAAATAAATCAAATATTTTAATTTTTTATTAAACTCTATTTATACTTTCTATAGTATATGTTATTCATGATTTAAGTAAATACTTTTGTATACCCTTGTAAGTTTACAATTTTCTTGTGACAAATATATTAGAGGGCTTGCAATTTTATCGGTCTTTATAGCATAAAAGTCTAAACTGATTTTATGTAGATTTGTTTTATCAGAGCTCAGACCTTAAAATCATTTGCTAACTAAAAAACCTGAATATTCAGTAAAATAATCGTTGTAGTCAATAGAAAGTTTAATTAACAATATAACATGCTCTTGCATGAAAGTTTAATTAACAATATAACATGCTCTTTGATTGTCTATTTTTCTGACCACAACATTATTTCATCTTTAATAAATAGCTTGAAAAACTTGAAAAACTGATAATAATGCTAGCTAGTTTTTTAGTTAAATTTAAATATGCTAAATAACTTTAGTTAAATTTAAATATGCTAAATAACTTTATTAGTTAAATTTAAATATAAGATAAGTACAAAATAAAATCAAATATATGTTTTGACATAGGGTTTTTAACAAAGATTTCTACTTATATTTTAAACATCAATTTATCTAAAACTTGCACAAACTTTTACTTTCAACACCATTTATGTTACAAAATGGAATAATAATAAATTATTGGATAGAAATAAAATTCATTTTTGTTGATTAGTATTTACATAAACCAAAATAATACTTAAGTTAATACAAATAATAATAGATTTATGCAGATTTTATAAATTTTTACCCCTAGAAAAAATATTTTTCAGTTAAAAACTCTCTTATGTACAGCATTACAGTTAGAAGGTAAAAAAGAGAAGTCATACTTTACTGTCACAACGATATTATAAATTATTTATTTGTTAAAGATATTTTTAATATTTTATATTGTAGTTTAATTATAAATACTTTAAGGTTAGTATTATCTTTACTGACAGTTAAGTATTTATAACTAAAGTAGAATATATTATAAATATCTTACTAAATAATATATCATAAATATTTTTGTAATATATATATTATAAATGTGTGATATGTATCATAAATATCTTTTATGAAAACATTTTGGTGATATTACAAAATCTTGAAGTTTAAGATGTTATAATATCATTAGGATTTTAACATCTTACTAAGATAAAAAAATTTAAGTCATGTTATATTATCTTTACTGTCAGTAAAGTAGTTATATTTAAAATCAAAACACAAATGGAACATAAATCAATCCTAATAATATAAAGTCAATGACAAAATAAAACAAATATTATTGTTTCATTTGTTTACATTTTAAAATGCGATACATTTTAGTTTTTAATCATGTTCACAAGTTCGTGTTTGAAAAAAAATTTTCAAGAGTGAAAAAAAAATTTTCTTAAAAAACTCATGATTTGATTATAGTTCAATACTTTTTTTTATTATTTATTTTATTTTTCTAAGAAGATAAAAGAGTTTTCAAAAAAAAAAAAAGTAAGATATATATATACATGATAAATGCAAAAAATCATTTTCTAATTTGTTCCCGTAAGTGCACAAACCAATGGACTTCGCTTTTTGTTAAATATACATACCCAAAATGACAGAGCCAATTACTCATAAAAAACAACATTTAAACCACGGATATCAACTTAATAACAATAATAGTATGGTCTACCTTATAACCAATGATAATTGAAAAACATTTTATTTGCACAGAAGTTATTAATCAAGCCTGAATTTATCGGGGACCGATTTATGCCCTGTAAGCAACCGGTCCCCGCTAACAACACTTCTTTTGCTAAAAAAGTCCCCATAAGAAAGCCTTAGTGATATATATATATATATATATATATATATATATATATATATATATATATACACACACACACACACACACACACACACACACACACACACACACACACACACACACACACACACACACACACACACACACACACACACACACACACACACACACATATATATATATACATACATATATGTATATATATGTATATATATATATATATATATATATATATATATTATATATATATATACACACACACACACACACACACACACAGTAGTGTCCAAAAGTTTGCAGACAGGCATTAAAAAATTAAATTTTACTAATATTTCAATGCATGTACCACTTGAGCCATTATATTATACACCAATTAAAAGGTTTTCAGGTTAACAATTATGTTTTAAGCAAATAATGATTATTTAATTAAATATTAAAAATTGGTTTACAAAATAACAATTTTTGTTCAAAAGTTTGCAAACAACTAAAGGTTTTAACAATTTCTACTCAAAATTGCTAATTTGTTGATTTTATAAACAAATACTTTGTGAAAATAATTTACAAACTTTAATTATAAGTGATTAAGATTGTGGGATCTATAGTGAAAAATTAATCTTGAGATCAGAAACTTGTTTTGTAAAATAGCACAGCTTTATGGAGTTGGTAAGTCTGCTGTAAGACAATTTATAAAGAGATATGAGCTTACTAGATCTACAAAAAATAAAAATCAATCAGGAAAGCCATGCAAAACAAGGCATTACCAGGATAAAAGGCTGGCGATACTAAGCAAAGAAAATCTCCGTTTGACTGCTATTGATATAAACATACAAATGAGATGTTTCTATGGAATTAATAGTAGTATTTCTACTATAAAACATTGTTTATGTCACGCTAATTTACTTGGAAGATGCCCAGCTAAAAAACCATTAGTTTCCTTGAAAATCCGTAATGCCTAAAAGGAATTTGCATTAGAGAATCTAAAGTGGAGTAGTCAACAATTGTCATAAACCCTTTTTAGTGACAAAAGCAAGTTTGTACTGTTCAGATCAGATGAAATCAGGTATGTTTAACATCCAGTAGGTACAAGATCCAATCCTAAACACCAACTGCCTACCGTAAAACATGGAGGAGTTATTTTAATGCTTTGGAGATGTTTTAGCCAAGATGGAGTCGGTTCGCTCCATAGAATTACTATAAATCAAGAAAAGTACAAAGATATATGTAAGACTTTTATGTTGCCTCGTGCAATAGATAAAATGCCTCAAGGATGGATATACGAACAGGATAATGATCCCAAACAAGCAGCCATATTGGTTTTAGAGTTTTTCTAAAAGAATAAAGTTAATGTTTTGAAGTAGCTATCCTAATCACGTGGCTTAAATCCAATTGAACATCTATAGGAACATATTGACCGTAAAATAAAAAGGATCCAGTCTACAAATCATGCTGATTTATTTAATATAAAGACTCAGTGGAGTGCTGCTACATCTGCTGAAAGTTTGGCATGTGGCAACAATCTTTTCTTCCTTTTTTTTTTTTTTTTCTTTTTTTTCTAAAAACACTATGCTATAAAGATAAGCAAAACTAGTGATCAAATTCTTATCTAAATAATCTATAGAAGTTGAATATAGCTAACTACCTAACTACTGACCTTAAACACTTTAAGGTCGGTAGTTAGATCAAAAAAAGTAATTTAAATATATAAATTTTATAAAGTTTAATTTCAAAATTTTTTTTTTTGAATAAAATGTTATCAATAAAAAAATAATTTTGAATTCGATAAAATATTTTGAAAATTAACAAATAGCTAAAGTAATTGTAAAAATTTTATATCTTTAAATTTAGATTATTAAATATGAGTGTGATTTAAATGATCTGTGTTTTGATATTAAAGATTGGTAATGATAGACCAGAAAATTAAGTAATTATTCAAATTATTAGTAATTAAATAATTGACCAGTAAATTATTTTGTTGATCATTTAATTGATGAAGGTAATTATTATAACTATATAAATTACTGGATAATTGATTAAAGGACCACTAAATTAATATATTGATCAGCTATTTAATAAAGGATCAGTTTATTAATTAAATGATAAGTTAGTTATACAAATTTAAGTAATTTAATAATTTAATCAGTTGAATAAATAAATTGATTTAATAGATAAAATGTAGTGAATAAGTTTTATTTAATAGCTAAATAAAAAAATTAAAATTTTTTTTTGATTTTCAAATTCAACTTTTTTTTTAATTGAATTAGAAAGTAAAGATGAACATTTTTTATAATAATAAGAAAGCTTCTTCAGCATTAAATTACCAGATTTTGGAAATTGATTTTGCTTAATTTGCATTTTATGAATTAACATGGTCATTGAAAATGGTCAAGTAAATTTGCAAAATTAAAGAGTTCATAACATGTGCAATGTGATATTGTGGACCCAAAGCTACCAGTAAGTAAAAATGAAAAAAATTGTAATCTTAGTTGAAAGTCTAAATTTAATTGAATTTTTTATTTAAGTATGGATGTAACAACTTTTTTACATTAACATTGTAAAATCCATAAAATGGAACTCATTTCATCAATTCTAGGAAAAAAGCATCAAATGTCTATTTTGCAACTTTACTAAAAGAAAAGTCCCAGTTAAAAAGAGTAACCTGCAGTTACCTGTCTTTTTCTAAGAAGTCATAAGTTGTTGGTTAGACCAACAATTATGTCAAAATCTTACACTCCAACACTTAAAGCTATATATATATTCATTTGTTAAAAAAGAAACCGTAGAAAACCATTAAAATGAAACTTGATTTTTTCATTTTGAACATTATTTCATTACCTCAGTTTTAGTTTTGTGCAAAATAAAATTCTAATAATAGAAGATTTTAATGTTTTACTTGTTGTATTAGAGAACTGGTCATTTAATAAATTAAATGTACTAGTCATTTTAATATATTTATTAGTCATTTTATTAACTGTTAGTTTTATCGGTTTTATTAGGCAAAAATTGAGTATGTGTATATATATATATATATATATATATATATATATATATATATATATATATATATATATGATTATTTTTATTGATGTTGCTTAGAGTTTGTTACCAACAAGACGATTTTTTAATGTTCTTATTGACAATCATCATGTTGTTGTTCGATGTCGATTATCAGCTTTGGCTAAACATCCAAAAGGAAAACTTTTTAATCAAGTAATCATTTTAAGTTTTTGTAAAGTTAATATTTTAGATGCTGCCATATTTTAATGTTTTTTCTATAAATTAAAGTATTTTTTTATTTAGCTTGTTGAAATGTTGAAGTTTTATTGTGGTTTTGAAATAAACGATCATACAGGATCACCTCTTACGGATCGTGAAATGTCTGAAAAGCATTATGAGAGTATTACATCTTTACAAAGAGCAGTTTTTAAGAACTATAAAAATGATGCTTTAGATTTTGTAATGGGTAATGTTGCATCTGTTGATACAAGAGAAAATTTGAAAAAGTGTTTCAAGAAATTAAGGTGAGTACATAAAAAGTTGTTAAAAAGTTTCTTAACTTAAATACTAACCTTCTAGCTAGGGTGATTCAAAAAAAAAATTTTTTAGAAAAATATCTTTTTGCACCCCCTGAATGCCTTAAAACATAGTGATATTTTAGTGATTCAAGAAATTAAGGTGAGTACATAAAAAGTTGTTAAAAAGTTTCTTAACTTAAATACTAACCTTCTAGCTAGGGTGATTCAAAAAAAAAATTTTTTAGAAAAATATCTTTTTGCACCCCCTGAATGCCTTAAAACATAGTGATATTTTAGTGATTCTATATATTAAAATATCACTAGGTTTCAAAAATTTTGCGAATAAAAGATTAGGGGTTGCTACAGATCCTCTAATATTAAACAAGTTCTTAATATGGAAAAAAAATTTCCAAAACTATGTTGTGTCTGAAATGAAGCAAAATTATATAACAATTTCACAGATTTTTTTTTTTTTTATAATTATCTTCGCTTCCAACAAGGCTGCAAGCAACCACTAATTAGTGTTGGAAGTTACTGGAAGAGAAAAGATGAAGATTGTAGAGCAAGATAACGATTGACAGATGACTTAAAATATTGCAAATTATATAAATCAGGAAAGCAAGATGAAGGAAGCGAATTCCAAAGAACTGATGTTCGAGGAAAAAAACTAGACGAATAAGAGCACTTATGAACAGTAACAGAAAAAGGATGAGACTTAATTGAATAACGAGTAATACAAGAATGAATTTTAGTAGATGGCACAAGAGACGCTAGCTCTTTCGAGCAGTGCCCATTATAGTATTTAAAGAAAAGAGAAAGAGAAGCCACATTATGAAGATGTGACAGAGGTTTAAGGTTGGCTGCAAGAGCAGGTCCAACTATGTTTACAATGCGTTTTTGCACCTTGTCTAAAAGAGAAAAGGGCATCATTAGAAGATCCGCCCCAGATATGGCAACAGTATTCCATACAAGGCCGGATTTGAGATTTATAGAGATAGAGAATAGAATTCAGAGTAAGAAAGTGACGAGCTCGATAAAGAGATGCAACTTTAGCAGATGCTAATTTTGCAACGGATTTGATATAAGGTTTCCAAGAAAGATCAGAAGTAAGAGTTAATCCTAGAAGATAAAGGGTAGGAGACTCATTGAGTACATTACCGTTCATAAATATAGGAAGGTCTAAACTATTGCGATATCCTTTTCAAGCTCAGATGCCCCTTGCAAGCAATCAGAGGGAGTTGGCTTCTATCGTGACAAGAATAAATGGTAGTATCATCAGCAAACAATGCCACCTTAGGTGTGAGAATATCTGGAAGATTGTTAATGTAAATTAAAAAGAGTATGGGGCCAAGGATTAAACCTTGAGGAACCCCTGAGGTTACAGAATAAGAAGAAGAGTGCTGTCCCTCAAGGACAACTTTTATACTATGATTGGAAAGAAAGGATTTAATAATCTTAAAGATGTTTCCAGATACACTGTAAGAAGAAAGCTTATGGAGAAGACCAGCATGCCAAACTTTATCATACGCTTTAGAAATGTCAAGAGCAATGGCCTTAACCTCTCCACCTTTATCTAATGCGCGATAAAACCTATCAGTTATTACTGAGAGCAAATCAACCGTAGAACGAGAAGATCGAAATCCATATTGATGATCAGAAAGTAGGATATGAGATTCGAGATTCGAGATTAAATGTTTGTTAATTAAATATTCAAAAACCTTGCTTATGATAGGAAGAAGACTAATGGGACAGTAGTTAGACGAATCGGATCGCTCTCCAGAATTTTTAAAAATAGGGATAACAGATGCTGCTTTCCAGCAGGCTGGAAAACAAGACTCTGATAAGCACTTGTTGAATAGTTTTGAAAGGATAGACGACAGCTCCAGAGAACACTTCTGCAAGACTATACAGGTATGTTGTCCGGGCCGCAAGCTGTAGAAGAGTCTAAGCGGGAAATCACTTTAGATACAGAAGCTGACGTGATACGAATGTTGAGCAATGGATCAACCTGTTTGACGGCTATATCAGGTAGAAAGCAACTAGTGGCATCAAGAGATGATATTGATAAAAAGTTCTTGGCAAACAATTCAGCTTTGTCTTTAGGTGAGGTGACAAAGTATGAACCGTACAAAAGAGGTGGAATTACAGACTTGCCCCTATTATTGATACTATTAAAGATTCTCCAGAAGTCACGAGAGCCTAATTTTTGTGATGAAATACGAGATTTCATGATCTGAGAATAGCAGGCTTTGGCATTAGACAAAACCTTTTTACAATGGTTCCTAGCAGATATAAACAGACGTCTGTTTTCTGGAGAATTGTTTTGCTGATAGATATGGAAGTAATGGTTTCGATTGGCAATTGCAGCAGCACAATGTGAGTAAAACGATGGAGAAGAGTGAGGCTTGACCTGAAATCGTCAAGAGGGAATAAAGGATTCCATGCCAGCCTGAATCCACGAAGTTATGTAAGAAGCACATTTGTCAACAGGGAGACGAAAGATTTCTACCCAGGGGCCATCACGAAGAAAATCACGGAAAGAGTCCCAGTCAGCTTTAAGGTAGTTGTAAGATATATGATGATAGGAGGATTCTGATGGTAAAGAAGAATGAGATAATAGTTTTAGAGAGACCAATCTATGATCAGAAGCACCTAAGGGTGAGTGTGAAGAAACTGAGCACTGACTAGGATCAGAAACAAGACATAAGTCGAGTAGAGAAGGTAAATGATTCGGGTTGTCTGGAAAGCGAGTTGGAAAGTTGACTATTTAAGTTAGGGATTGAGAAAGACAAAAGTTGTGGGCCTTAATGCCTGCAGAGTCACTGACACTAAAGCCAAGCCATTCAGTGTGATGAACATTAAAGTCACCGACAACAACAATATTGGCTGATGGATAAAGAATGAGGGCTTGGTCAATATAATCAGAAATAACATCAAGAAGAGTGCAGTCTTGAGATGAGGGAGAGCGATATAGAACAAAGAGAAAGGTGATAGAGTGAAGTGGTGCTAAACGAAAGCACATAAAAGAGTAGTCTGTGGATTCAAACCTAATTTCCCGACAAATGTGTGAATTCTTACGAATGTAAATGCCCAGGCCAAGCATGTGACTATTGGAGTCTTTACGAATTAAAGGAAGATAACCATCAACACTAAGATCACTAGATGAGACAGCTGAACTCAAATTAGTCTCACAAAAAGCAAGTAGGTCTGGTGAACTTTGCAAGAGATAAGACTCAACAGAAGAAAAATTACTTCAAAGTCCACGAATATTGGTGAATGATAGGTTTAGCAAACTTGGTGATGACTGTGGTTTTTTTGTGTTTTATAGTTTTTGTTACTTTATTCATTTTTAAATTTATTAAAGAACTTGACTCGAAACATAGATAGTACACAGGACACTGTTTTATAGCTCAAGCAATTGCCTCATTTCCACTAATAAACCCTAAGCCGTAAAAAATGGCTTCAATGTGGCCTTGGCAATGCACGCCAAAAGTACAAACAGGGACACCATCCATGCGCAACATGGCACTGTTAGTACTCTGATAATTTTCAGCTGTTGATGGAATCAGCCTCTCTGAGAGCTACCACAGAGTTCGGGAAACCTGACTACCAGCCGGCCTCAGAACCATAAAACTTAGTTTTTGAGCTGAACCCTCATTTGGAGATAATAGAATGAGTTGATGATAGTCATTTTATAAAAGCGAAGGAAAAAAAAATTATAATTTAAAAGTCTTAAATTAATTATAATTTAAAATCTCTTAAAAATCCTTTTTTTGTTGAGAATTGTAATTTTTTCTGCAATAAAATCTAAAATAACAATTTTTATATTAATAATGATTATTTTTAAATGATAGTTTTTTTATGACATTATTTTTTAATTTTTTTGTTTAAATTATTTTATATTTTCAGAAATGTTTATACGTATTTACAGTTTTCACATTACAAAAATGCTGATTCATTCATATTGTTGTATTTGATCCTGTCAATATTCTTTTTTTGTATTTAAAATATATTTATCCTTTTACTATGAATAAGGGTAAAAGGAACTCATAAATCTTAGATGGCCATCCTTTTAGTAGTTGTACTCAAAAAAAAAGTCTGCAAAACAGTCTAATGCAGTAAACAGCACATAAAAAATTTACTTTTTTATAATTTTATATTGAATTAAAAAAAGGCAAAGATCTTGCTATTTTTATCATTAAATAATTATTTAAATTGTTAGACAGCTGATTTATCTAGAATAGAAATAAAAGAAATTTATGAACTAAGTCTTTAAAGCACTTTGCTATTCTATAATAGCAAAGTGCTTTACACTATTGCTATTAACTTAGTTGTCTGTTTGCAGCGACCTTGAAAAAAACCTTATCAAAATTTACTCTGCGATTGTCTTTAACTGCTTTTTATTTATGAATAGAAAATTATGATCAGATCACTTACATTAGAGGGCCAATCAGATAACCGTTTAAGTAAACTTATGCTTTTTGCTAAGTTAGGGTATATTTAAGGAGTTTTTAACTGTTTTTCGATGTCTACATTGCTTAATGAAATGTGTTAATAGGTTTTATAGATGTCTATAAAACGTTTTTTTACCACTGGTTAGTTATTGTGTGTTTTGAAAGGTTAGATGCATACTCTGACTACAGAAGAAAAAAACTTACTATTTTGTAAGCTAAACTTTAGTGATAACCATTTTGTTGGAACAATTCTTTATATCATTTTATAAACAATAATAATATAAAAAAAAAAATCATTAAAAAAAAAATAAATAAATAAAGATATGATAATATGATAATTTAATTTTTGATAAAGTAAAGATAAAAATATAAAAAGTTTAATAAGTAAACATTTATTTTTTAAGCACAAGAAAACTTCATTCAATAGCTGCTCACTTGAACTTGGTACCAAGCTTAAAAGATGTTGGAGATCAAAAGTTTGATAAAGAATTTTTACTTGAACTACTGGTATAATAATTTGAGTTAAAAAAATTTTTAAATTAAATGTTCTATAGTTATTTAAACTGAAAGCAATTAGATTTATTTAATTGTTTAAAATTTTAAATAGACTAAATAACAGTTTTATATTATTTTTATTGAATTTGTTTTCATAGATTTCTCGACATGAAAGAAGAATGTCGCAAATACAAACTTTAAATCGAACACCAATGTTTCCTACTGAACAGGTGATATGTTTTTTATTTGAAACTTTTTTTTTAATTTTTTTTTTTTGTAATAAGTTATTAGTAGTGTGTGTGTGTGTGTACATACATACACTTATGTGTGTTATTTTTTTTATGTGTGTGTGTGTGTGATCATACATAAATTTATTTGCTTTCATTCTACAGCCATAAGAGCTGACTGTGAATGATAGGAGATTTTACAGAATGTATTCCATGCTTTCTTTAAACACATTCTTAACAAGAATTTTATTTAAATTTAAAAACATGGTATTGAAGAATTTTTTTAAATTTAAAAACAAGGTATTCTTGTACCCATTTAACAAGTTAAACTATGCTGTTTGATAACAAGTTAAACTGTTTGATAAAAATATTGATGTGATTTAAATCTTAATTGTATATCTGATACAAATTGTATCTTTTAGTAAAATTTTTTTTTGTCACTAAAAAAAAGTTTCCACTCCTACTGTACATACAAGTTTCTTGTTTCAAGTATTTAAAATTATATAAAATCTTTAAAGAAAAGTATTTAGAAGATTTTGATGGAGAAAATGCTAATTTTACTGAAGTTGACTTTGATATGTGTTGTTCGTGTGTGTGTGTATATGTTGGTGTGTGTGCATATACATAATTAATATAAATTTTTATTTTACTGATGTTTAGTTTTAATATAGATTTTATGGGATCAGAATATTGTTCCGACAGAATTTTACTCAGGGGAAGGTATAAAATATTCTGTATAAAATTTTATTTTCATTTGTTTTATTGTTGCATTAAAAAAAAAAAAAAAATTTAATTAGAATTTCAGGGGTTTTGTGTTAGTAAATTATAATTAATATTTATGGTATCATAAAATGAAGTTTTTTATTATTAAATGATCAGGTTGCTTAGCTCTTCCTAAACTAAATCTGCAGTTCCTTACTCTGCATGATTATTTGTTGCGCAATCACAACCTTTTTCAACTGGAATCCACTTGTAAGTTTTTGTTAATTTTAAATAATTTGTTTTGTTCTGTAAAAGTTTTTAAAATAGCATACATCAAGTTTTTTTAAATAGCTTCTAACTTTTATCATCGTCAACATTTGGTGACATCTTTTATCATTATGAACATTTGGTGACATGTTTGTACTACAAACATTTAATGACTGAAACTTATGTTTACATTTTTTTAATAATTTAATTCCAAGTATTTATTATTATTATTTAGATGAAGTACGTAGTGATATTGAAGATATAATTAGCAGAATAAAACCTTGGTATTTAATTTTGCAAATTTAATGTAATATTAATATTCTTATTATAATGTAATATATATATATATATATATATATATATATATATATATATATGTATATATATATATATATATATATATATATATATATATATATATATATATATATATATATATCTTATACTGCTGAGTTAGGTGAGCATGATGATGTCATACTCACCTAACGTCAAATAGCCTGCTGCCAGGGGCTTCAGTACATACATCGACTGACAAATAGCCTGACTCGTAGTGGAGTGCTGCTACATCGACTGAGAGTTTGGTATGGGTCAGCAACCTTTTCATTCATTCTTTGTTTTCCCTCATCATTTCTAAAAACGCTAAATTAATTTAGGCTAGCAAAAAAAGTGAGCAATTGCGCATATAAATATGCTATAGTAGATATGTATGTATATATATATATATATATATATATATATATATATATATATATATATATATATATATATATATATATATATATATATGTATATATATATATATATATATATATATATATATATATATATATATATATATATATATATATATATATATATATATATATATATATATATATATATAATAAATAATAACAATTTTAAAAAACTTATTTTGATTTTTTAGTAAAGTATTTATTAATTATTTAATCTTGATTTTATTTCAATTAGGTTTGTATATATATATAAATAATTGATTTGAAATTAAGATCACAAGTGCAGCAGCAGCAAAAGCAAACTAGAAATTAGGTGTGTTTAAAGCATTCAGAGGACGTGGTGTATTCCTCTTGCGAATATTATACACTCCATACATTTGACCTTATCTAGAGTTTGCAATCCAAGCCATTTGGTCACCAAACTGCAAAAACATGTATATATATGTTTATGACATCATAAAATTCTTTTTGTTTTTCAAATTTACTTTTTAAACTATTTCAACATACTAATCACAAAATTTTAATTATTTAATTAACCACCTTGTTAACCACCTTAACTAATGGTAATTTTACCTCAAAACTTTTACCTGAAAAAAATATATTTATTTACCTAAAAAAAATATTTAAAAGTTAAAATAACTTATTTAAGCAATCTAAGATACTTATTACCTTATATATAGTAATATATTAGCAAATAATTAGCAAAAACAAAATCAAAAACCAATCCGACGCAGCTTAAAATGTTCCCAACTGTTAAATTAAAAAAAAAGATACAATTGAATAATTAGCTATGTAGAAATCTTATGTTATCAAATGTTAACTTAGTTTCTGATTTTTTTGAAATATGAAATTATTTGTTTATTTCTTCAACATATTACACAATCATAATTTTGTTTAAAACTAAATAAATAAAAAAAATTTGGTTTTATTTCCTAAATACATAATAACAATTTTGCAAATAATAATTGTTTTATATTTCTAAAAAGTCAGTAATTATCTAAAAACCTGAAAAATATTAAATAAAATTAGTTTTTTATTAAATTTTTTTTTAACAGCTAGTAAGAAATCATTTTGTAAAAAATATTTTTTTTTTTACAAAATAATTGATATATATGCTTTTGTTATCAAAATGTGTTATTAACACTTGTGATATTAAAATAACTTTAATTTATGCTTTGTACATATTTTTAATGTTTTCATTTTATTTTACTTTAGTAAAATAAAATGAAAAAGTGGAATAAAAGCCTATAGGTTTAAACAAATTATTCTAGCGAAAAAGTAAAATTTGCTTATTGAACAATGTATAATAATAGTCATGTTAAAATTTAAAATCACCTGTTGGTTGAATTTAAGGATTACAAGGTCAAATCTAAGGATTACAAGGTCAAATCTAAGGATTACAAGGTCAATTCTAAGGATTACATGGTCAAATTCAAGGATTACAATGGTTAAATATGGATAATATACTGTTTTAAGCATTATGATTTTAATGAACATTATGATTTTAAAAAACAGACAGAAACATATATATATATATATATATATATATATATATATATATATATATATATATATATATATATATATATATATATATATATATATATATATATATATATATATATATATATATATATATATATATATATATTATATATATATATATATATATATATATATATATATATATATATATATATATATATATATATATATATATATATAGAGGTAATAAAATAAAATTATAACCACTGAATAATGTAACGTTAAGAAACAATAAAATTAATAATATAATAATAAAATTAAGTTATAGCATATTTAAATAGAGTAATTGAAACATATACTAATATTTATAAGTAAATATTTAAATAAACTAACTGAATATTTTGAAAATATATTGACAATAAGAACAAAAAAATACATTTCTAGAGAGTGTTATACCTTAGTTAAATATAGCTCTATTAAACTATTACATTTTTTTTTTTTTTTTACATTTTTTTTTATAGACATGAATTATACATAGTTAATGTCTATAAAACAAGATTAATAAAAAGTGTAAAAAAATTTTTAGATTTCAAATTATAAGATTAAACTATCTTTGCAAAAATTAGGAAAATAGACGAAAGTATATGTATAATCATGAGAAATCAGTTATTTATCATCAGAATCATTATTCTTACTATTTTTGAGCCTATCAATGTTTTTAACTTAAGATTGTGTCAAAACCAATTTAAAAACATTTTTTTTTTAAATTTTTATCTGGTTTTTAAAATGAAAATATAAGCAACATTTATAATAAAACCATGTGAAATTGTTGTTATTTTTGGACTGATGTGGACCAATGATTTAAAAGTCAGAAATGCAATTCAAGTTTTAAAGTAAAATATATAGGTATATTTGAAAACACTAAAAGATGAACTTTGGATTTTCCAAATCTCCCTCCTCCCTCTTTCCTCCCTCCTCCTCCAACCCCTTTCTAATTAAATGTACGCTCTAGAAATACCCTCTCCTCATTTATATTTTTTTTAATATCAATTTAGAATATTTTTTTTGTTTGTTTGTTATTTAGGTGCCCCTAGAAGACTTAACGGTCTTGTCACAGAGCACCGTGGAAATGCGTTTAATCAGGATGTTCACGCCTCCTTTCTTACCCTGACACAAAAATATGTCCAAAACTTGTTTTGAACCTGGATCTTATAAAGCAAGCGCTCTAACCACTGCGTCACGGCTGCAGAATTACCCCTACCTAATTTAGAAATACCCTCCCACATCCTTTTTATTTTATTTTATCAGTTTATGCTTTAGAAACTTGATCTATTAAAAAATTATTATTTAAGAATATATATATATATATATATATATATATATATATATATATATATATATATATATATATATATATATATATATATATATATATATATATATATATATATATATATATATATATATATATTCTATAATTATATATTATATATTATGTAATATAATTTTATAATAATATAATTCTATAATAAAAATATATATATTTTTTCTAAAGCTTCACTAAAATGCATTGTATTTGTATTGTAACAACTATCTTCCTGACAACCACATATACCAAAGGTAAATTTATTTACCTAACAAAACCTACAAAGAAGAGTACTTACAACAGTAACAAACACATGCTTATGCACATACACCTCACATCCTGAATTAACACTTTACTTTTCTCTTTCTAAATTTATTTTGATTTTCTTCTATAATTATTCCTTGTATCATAGTATTCTTATTATTAATTAGTTACTGTAAATGACGTAAAATCAGATATGCTATACATACAGTTTGTTTAATTGACCTAGTTTTAGTTTACCTGCTAACTGTTTTGAAAACAAATAATTCTACTCAACTTTAGTTTTAGTTTACCTGCTAACTGTTTTGAAAACAAATAATTCTACTCAACTTTAGTTTTAGTTTACCTGCTAACTGTTTTGAAAACAAATAATTCTACTCAACTTTAGTTTTAGTTAACCTGCTAACTGTTTTGAAAACAAATAATTCTACTCAACTTTAGTTTTAGTTTACCTGCTAACTGTTTTGAAAACAAATAATTCTACTCAACTTTAGTTTTAGTTTACCTGCTAACTGTTTTGAAAACAAATAATTCTACTCAACTTTAGTTTTAGTTTACCTGCTAACTGTTTTGAAAACAAATAATTCTACTCAACTTTAGTTTTAGTTTACCTGCTAACTGTTTTGAAAACAAATAATTCTACTCAACTTTAGTTTTAGTTTACCTGCTAACTGTTTTGAAAACAATTCTACTCAACTTCAGATACTCCTGACTACATTACAGTCACGTGACATGCACAGTTAAACTTGTCATTTATACAAAATACAAAAAAAACTTTTGTACCATATACATTTACCTGTTAAATTTCCATATATTTTTAGGTTATGAGTTGTAAAATAAATATACAGATTATTAGTTGCAAAACACATATACAAGTCTGTTTAACATTTCTAGTTTCTAAATGCGGTAGTGGTGTAGTGGTAGAGCGCTCGCTTCATAAACGAGTGGTTCTGAGTTCGATCCCCACCACGTCCCTGGTAGTACCGCGCTCAACTCGTTTCTCCGCGCAGCGGCCTCATTCGTCAAGGTTCGTGTTTCGGAGTTATAGAGTTGAGAGAGGGTTATAACCACAAATAAGTAGCCTCCTCGTCTGTAGTGGCCTTCTCGGCCTTGAGGAGGTGAATTAAAATAAAAAAAAAAAAAAAAAAAAGTTATCTAGTTGTAATAGTTTATTATTTATTTATGTTATTTTTTTAATGATACATGTTTATTGGACTCCTAGTACTCATGTCTACCTTATGTAACACCAATTTAAAAGACTTTCAACTATTTTTATACTGATAGCTCTTACTATTGAGACACAGTGGTCACACACAAGTACACCACATTGACTATTTACATTACACACATAGTTATAAGAACTCAAAACAGTTCACAACTCTCATTGACCCATGTTATACTGTGACAAACCACTGCGCTTATGGACACTCATGTCAAACAATTACTTACTACTGTTTGGAAGTTGTACTGAACCCCACTATGTGTCCTCTGGTCTCAGTGTCAAATCAGGAGTCTGTGGCAATCGTCCTGACTGGATACTCTGAGAATAGTCCTTTTGGGACTGGTGTAGACCCAGAGTGGAACCTTTTTTGGGATACCAGTCTCAGATGAAAGCTGGAGGTCTTCATGTGTTCATACTGCACCATAAGGCAAAAATCCATACTGTACTCGAGACGTTCATGACACTTATATTTATAATGTATATTTATCACCCTAATAATCCAAACCACATGATGACTACTTATAAAACAAATAATTCTACTCCATTACCAATTCTATCTATGCATCATAGTTACGCTTGACTCTAACAACAATTAAGTAGTAGGACTGTTTATTATTCTTATTATTCTTATGTTCACTGCTCGGTGCAGTTTCACAAAAATGCATTGCATTTACAAAATAATTATATATATATATTATATATATATATATATATATATATATATATATATATATATATATATATATATATATATATATATATATATATATATATATATATATATATATATATATATATATATATATATATATATATATATATATATACTGGTTTTGAAGACATAAACAAAACTGGTTTTGAAGACATAAACAAAAATTTAATTCCATTCATTGTGTTAGAACCAAGCCATAGTATGAATAACAACAATATTGGCTGAGGTATCAAGGGAAAGTGTTGTAGTGGTGTAGTGGTAAAGCACTTGCTTCATAGGCAAGAGGTTTCAAGTTCAATCCCCACCACATCCCTGGTAGTACCGCGCTCAACTTGTTTCTCTGCATAGCGTCCTTGTTTGTCAAGGTTCATGTTTCGGAGTTATAGAGTTGAGAGAGGATTATAATCACAATTAAGTAGCTTCTTGGCCTTGGTGAGGTGAATTAACATAAAATATTTAAATAAAAAAAGAGCTTTCAATTTCTAATACTTTTATCAATTTGATAAAAATATTAGATCTAAAAGTTTTACTTGAGAAAACTGGTTTACGAGAAGAAGGTTAAAACCTGATTTCAACTAGGTTTTAAAATGTTTATCACTATCCAGTTAAAAAATTTTTTATTTTAGTAGTCATTATTTAATCTAATATTATTATTAAATTATTGATAATAATACTTGTTATTTAATTATTAATTTTTTTTTATATAGGAAAAGTGAATATGGTGACACATTATTTCAAGGATGGGCAAGAATGGCGGTTGTATGTATTTTTTTTTTTTAAACAAACCTCTGAAGATTACTTTTTAGTATTAAGCAGCAAGCAGCATAGCATAGTATACATATAGATCAATTGATTTATAACAATTGCTTACCTTAATTTTAGCATACAGCTATATGTTTCTAAAATGTTATGTAAAATAAATTTTAGTATTTTATGTCAAATTATTATTTTTCAGCCAATAAACAGTTTTTCAATAATAGAGGTAATTTTAATTTTTGTAATTTCAAGTGTTGCAGTTCATTAATTATTATGATTTCATAAATAGTCATGTACTTATTAATTCTTTTTATTTTTTAATTAATTTACTACAGCTATTGATTATAAATCTAATATTTTGTTTATAATTATTATAATTTATAATTGCGTTTTTTATTATTTAAATTTTAATTTAAAACTCAAATAGTTTTTTTTCTTAATCTTGAAGAATATTAGAGCTAAAAAAGATTTTTAATAATTGTATAATTAATATAAGGTTGGAAAACCAAAAGTTGGAGAAACATGTCCTTCCAGAGTTCTAGCTGATGTGAAAATAACACTCAGTCAACGTCATACACTACGAGAGGAATGGGAAGGTTTTTATAAGTGTTTGTTTTAACTAAATAATTTTAATGAAAAAGAAATAAGCAAGTAAATATTTGCAATATTTTTCTTTAGGATTACGAAAACACGATGTTGCATTCTTGATCTCTATAAAAGCCCAAAAGACAGTTTATAACCAACGCTATGATAAATCAGTTCCTTTTGCTGAACAGGTTGTTCTTATTTTTGATTGATTGTTTTTTGTTCTTATTTAGCAATATTTCAAAATTTTTAATAAGCTTATGACCAAATATTGTTTTATTATTTTTCAGTAAAGAATTTTTTTAATTTACTGAACATATTACATTTCACTATAAAGATATGGTATTAATGAACATATCACGTTTTACTGAATAAATTGATATATTCACAATATATTACATTTTACTGAAATGTTAATCAATTTACTAAACACGTCACATTTCATTGAACAAATTTCATTTTACAAAACCTATCACATATTGTCAAAATCTCAAACAACATCCTGTGATTTCTTGGATTTTTAAGATTGTAGGTGAAGTTTGTACGAATTTTGAATTTTTTTATTTTTATTAGTTTTCAAAAATTGTGATGAATATTAGGTTTATTAGAATTTTTTTTTTTTCAAAAAAAACAAACAAACAACGGAGATTAAGGTACATGTAAAGATGAGTAAAATAAATTCAAATTTAATTGACAACAAATATGAGAGATCTTCATTCTCTCATATTTGTTCTGAACAATCAACTTCAGATCTCTTTTTTCCCAAAAATCTTTTTTACAAAAAATATTTCATTGGTTGTTGTTCTCTTCCTTGGCCAAAGACCAAATTGCGTATTTATTGGTAATGTATTGCTTATTTTATTTTTGTTTAATAATATTTTAATTTTATTTTAATTTCATAATTTTTGTGTTAGTCATGATTAACACAAGTCATAACAATTAAACAGTATTTTAACATTATAGTTGCAGGTAACTTTTACAAAATAATTTTTTATAAAATATTATAAGTTAATACTCCCTATATTGATTGCTTATTGGGTGTTATGCAGGTTTTTTATAGTTTTAACTCTAGTGTTTATACTATAAAGTATATCACTTGATATACTTTATGTGTCAACTCATCTTAAATTTGCAATATAAGCTTATTCACCATAACAAAAGTCAAAGAGTTGTGCAAACATAAATATATTAGAAGAGTCTTTAATAAGTTTGACTATAAAGTTGGTTATATTATTATTGTTGATTATATTATTTGGTTCAAGAAAATTCAGTCTTTTGCAACTCAGTTTTTTTTTTTTTTTTCTTTCTTCTTTTCCTAATCTGCTCAACTGGATTAAAAGTTTATTTTTTATTTTGTTTAGCTGAATAACAAATTTTTTTTAATGCCCTATTTTTTTTTAATGCCCCATTTTTATTAACATTAGTCTAAATATAATTCAATATTCCTCTCTATATTGAGCAAATACATCGTCAAACATTTGATTTTCAATTTACTATAAAGCTGTATATTAATACTGAGTAGAAAGTTATAAAGCTGCAATTGTTTAACTTCATTATTTATTTGCCTTTGGTCTGCATCATATTCTAATTTTTACCATGTTTACTACTTTTTTAGTTTGGTATAGCATATGTTCGAGGCTGCGAAATTGAAGGAATGCTTGATGAAGAGGGAAAAGTTATCGAAGAAGGTTTGCAGATTTAGTTTAAAATATAAAGTTAAAATAAAGTTTAGGTTTTCAAGTTCTTTTTTTGTTATTTTAGTTTGTATAAAGATTCTTTTTTTAAGTAACCATCTTTTAGATCCAGATTTTGTAAGTTACTTTTTATTTATAGGTCCGGATCCTAAACCTGAGCTTAAAGGAGATGATCGTACTTATAGAGTATGGTTAGATACAAACCAATATGAAGCAGATATGAGCAAAACTAACAGTGGATCAGAGGTTATAATCTAATGTTTCATAATGTTTTTTGTTGTTTATTTTTATGCCTTACTTATGTATTTACTTACATAAACTTTTAAATATGTGAGAATTGGAAAATGAGTTGAGATTCAAGGTAAAAAACAAAATAATAAAGGCAAAAAAAAAAAGAGTTTAAATAGTGATAATAATTTAATAATAATTGGTCAAAAAAAGCATAATCAACTCTTTTACTAATTTTTATATTTATAGTGAAAAATGCTGATATATGTGAATGTATATGTGTGTGCATTTAAATTGTTTTCTTTATATTAAAATACGAAATCCGAAAAAAAAAAAAAAAAAAGTTATTTTGGTTTTAAGATTTAATCAGCAGTTCTTGTAATTTTTGAATTTACATATCTTTTAGTTATAGCACTAATATTAATTTATATACTACTGTGATCAAAAAGTAAGGTGAATTTTTAATTTAAACTTCCCGCCTTATTCGATTCGTCTAATCTTTTTTATTTTTAAGTTGGTAGGAATGTCATTAACATTTGCGCCAAATTACATGTCAAACTCATAATTATTTTTTTTTGTTTACGCTTGTTTCTGAAGTACCAAAAGTGCATTCGGCGATTTTCACGATGTCTAATTTTTTTGAGCATAGAAGTGCTATTAGATTTTGTTTGCGGAATGATATTTCTGCTGCTGAAACGTATCGAATGTTGCAAAAGGCCTTCGGTGAAGAGACTATGTCTCAAAAAAAACGTTTACAAGTGGTACAAAGACTTCAAAGAAGGCCGAGAACGTGTTGATGACTTGGAACGCTCCGGACGACCATCGACTTCGATTGATGATCGCCACATCAACAAAATCAAAAAATTGGTGCTTGCAAATCATCGGTTAACCATTCGAGACCTTGTTAACATGGTTGGAATATCATTTGGGTCGGTGCAAGCGATTTTGAAGAATCATTTGGGCCTCAGAAGACTCAAATCACGTTTGGTGCCGAAATTTCTCAATTTCTTTGAAAAAGAGCGTCGCGTTAAAGCGTGTGAAGCAATGCTTTCTGACTATCAAGACGTCTACAAACAAATAATTACTGGCGATGAGACTTGGGTCTACGCATACGACCCTGAAACAACCGACCAATCGAGTGAATACCGTGAAAAAGGCGAGCCGAGACCGAAGCAACCACGTCAAAGTCGCTCAAAAATCAAGGTCATGTTGACTGTTTTCTTTGATTATTGTGGTGTCGTGCACTACGAATTCCTTCCAACTGGCCAAACTGTCAACAAGGAATATTATTTAAGCGTTATGCGACGTTTGTGTGAAGCTATTCGCAAAAAGAGACCGGAATTATGGGCCAATAACTCTTGGATTTTGCACCACAATAATACGCCTTCGCACACAGCACTGGTTCTTCGTGAGTATTTTGCCAAAAACTCTACCCGTGTTGCTCCACAACCACCGTATTCGCCCGGCTTAGCACTGTGTAACTTCTGGCTGTTCCCAAAGCTCAAGAGACCACTCCGGGGAAATCGTTTTGAGTCCATTGAACAGATCCAACGTGAATCGGCACGCGCATTGAAGGCTATCCCTACCGAGGACTTTTCGGCATGCTTCGAAGACTGGAAAAAACGTTGGCAAAAGTGCATTGGGGCCGGGGGGGGATTATTTTGAGGGAGACGATACAGATTTGGAAGAATAAGTAAAGACTTTTCATTTTTAAAAAATTCACCTTACTTTTTGATCACCGTAGTATATATATATATATATATATATATATATATATATATATATATATATATATATATATATATATATATATATATATATATATATATATATATATACATATATATATATATATATATATATATATATATATATATATATATATATATATATATATATATATATATATATATATCTATATATATATATATATATATATATATATATATATATATATATATATATATATATATATATATATATATATATATATATATATATATATATATATATATATATTTATTTATATATATATATATATATATATATATATATATATATATATATATATATATATATATATATATATTTAGACTTTAAAAGCGTTTACTTATTGAGCTGGTTATTTTTATTTGGTTATTTTACATTTTATAATCGTTATATATAAAGACATTCATTTAAATTAAAATTAATTGCAAAAGGGAAAGTCCAAATACATCATTTATAACTTGAGTTTAAGTTATTTGAAAAAGCTTTTTTATTTGATGTCATTTATTAAATACAAAAGCATTTATAACACCAAAAAAAAAAAGAGCAGGTATTTACCTTTAAGAAGAAAAAAAAAAGCGTTTAAAATTATAAAGCTTTTTGCAAATATTTTGATAAATACTTTGTTTTGGAACATTTAATTTGAAACTTAATTTTTATGGAATATTTAAGATTTGAAAATACTCTGCACTTAGAGATCAATTTAATTATTTTGACTATTTCAGCTGAAAGTCTTAGAGTAAGTCTTAAAATTTAATTTATAAATTCTATTTAAATATGTATTGAAATACTTGTCTTTTATAAAAGAATGAAAAGAATCCCAAAACATTTTCAAACACGAGATATTCTTAGTTACACAAAAAATTTATTTAATGTTTTTTTATTAGGAAAATATTTTCCAGATATTTTAAATATGACCCTGGATAATCTCTGAAATTCTGTGATAGAAAGACAGAAATCAATAATGTTAAAAGTTAGAACTTGGTAAAATTATTTACTTTTAATACTTTTGAATTGATCTACAAAATAAAAAATATCAACAAAAGCAGTTGAAAGGCCAAAAAACTTCATGAATTTTTTATATATTTTTCTCAACCATATTTAACAGGCTTTTTATTTGTGACGCTTATAATGTAGTAATTTTTGAGCAACTTTTTTTTTGTTGTTGTTGGTCTTTTACAGTTATTTTGCAGCAATATGTAATGTGTTTACTATTGTAATGCACATACTATTTTCCTCTATCTGTATCAGTTTCTGGATTTCCAATTCAATTTTTGTAATAGATTGATTGGTTGATATATTTATGAACACATAAAATTGATCTGCAGTATTATTGACAACCTTTATTGTGATAAAGTCTATATTGACCTTGTATCTCAAATTTTTGGAAATCCTTTCCAGGCCTGCAGATCAATATTAGGCAATCTGTCAACTTCAACTCCAAGTAACAGAAATGCAGCTCTTTGATAACATTAAGTTGTTTACTGGGTTGTCACATGTTATTGGACACCCAATCCATGTTGGTTCATATACATGAGAAGCAAAAATACAAAATTCAGCATGAATTTGTAATTGCAGTTGCTCACCATCTGCTTTAGTAATTGCCATCTATTTCTGAATTTGTTAATCTATGTGCTCTAGGCGTGATAAGCTCTAGCCATCTGAAAAGTATTTTGCTAGACATCATTCAGTAGTTTAAAACCAAAGATTATAAGGTATGACTGGTTCAGTTCTTTAAAGTCTTCTAGTGGCACATACAAAGTATTAACTGCCAGTAATGACTGTAACTATCTTCTGTCCTAAGCTATTACAGAACTTTTTTAGCAAGTTGATAATCATTCAAAGGCATAAAGTTGGGTTGACTGATAGTTGGTTCCAGCATTTTCATGAAAATATTCATGAAAATGCTGGAACTATGACTCTTATTTCATTTATACAAAATTTTTTTCATTTATAACATAATATAATAATAATATACAATACTGTTGAAGTTTAACACCATGTTAAATATTTTACAGACATAACAAGAAAGTTAAAGATAGTAAATTAAGTCTAGTTTAGCTTTAAATAAGTTGAGATTTTTAATTTCTGCTGTTTCAATTGGTAGATTGATCCAGAACTTAACTGTGCGATTTGTAAAAAAACCTTCACAATTTTGATTTAAATATTTCTTATTGGTGAATTAATAATGTTTATTACCTCGAATGTTTGAACACGGACCAGACGAATTTAAAGATCACAAATGTTGAAGGGGTATTTTCCAAGGTACTTTCTCTATATCATAATATCATTTGTACATTTATTTGAGATCTTGTGTTCTTCATTGTTTTAAAGATGTTAATCTCATTTTTTCTAATCTTTCATTGTATGATAAATGACGTAGCTCAGGTACAGATTTCGTTACTCGTTTTTGAACAACTTACAAAAACAGTTCACTTTTTTTCTAATATATTTATTTCTTTTTCAAGATAAGGACTCTTTGCAATACATACCTGTATTGCAAATTTTAAATGCGGACGTAAATAACCACAATACAACAATTTTATTAGTATACTGTTTTTATACTTAAATGATTTGCATATTGTACCAAATTTATTGTTTGCAATAGATGATGCAATTTTGATTTGTGGCTCCCAAGTCATTTGAAATTAATACGCCCAGATCCTTATCCAATTTAGTTGTACTTAATATTTGCTTTATATTATTGTTAGTCATGAAATGTCATAGTTTTTATAATCTTTTCTTTCACTTAACATGCGCTCTTCCTCAACTTTCTTTGTCGTCCAAGGGACACTATAAAAAGTAACCTTTTATATAAAGATTTGCTTCTAAACTGCTTGCGGGTTTGTTTATTATTAAAAAAAGCTAATTGTTCTTGGAAAATGTTTTTTAGGTTAAAATCGGCTAATATTGCGCTTGTGGGTTTGTATCTTTTTTTTTAAATCTTTTTTTAATACTTTAAAAACTTTTTTTTTTTAAATAAACTTAAAAAATGTAACTTACAATATAATTTTGTCTAATATTAATATTAAAATATATTAAATATGTGGGAGGACAATGTAAATGAAATATTTGTACGGTATTTGTATATTATTTTACTTTTATATAAAATAATTTTATCCTTAAAATGTATTCCGCTCCTTTAATCCAGAAGGCTTTATAAGCATGAACTGGCACAAGTGCAAACTAGCATAAGTGTGAGGCGTTGCAAAAACTGGCACAAGTGCGAAGTGGCATAAGTGGGAAGTATAATAAGTTGCATTATGCCAATATTTGCAATTTTATTTGGCGCACTTGAGCAAGTTTGCACTTATCACATTTCGCAATTAAATATTAACTAGAAACAAATGTTAAATATTTGACATCAAATTTCATTTTATATGATTATGTGCAGTATTTAAAAAGTTCTAATATTTTTCTAAACTAGTAAATTACGTAGAATAAATTAGTAGTTTTATTATTCAAAACAAAAGTTAAAAGGTGGAAATTTTACTTCTATGCCATTGGCGAATAAATCTTTTTGACTGAAAAAAAAAAAGATTGACTGATTTTGGTAAAAGTATTTTAGAACAAGTCGACAAGCTAAAATTATGTTAAATACTAACGTTAAATAATTATTTTTAATAATTGAATATTGTAAAAGTTATTGCAAAAATAACTGCTAATGTTTAAAAAAAATAAAATTTATAAACTTTAAATATAAATACTTTTATAAATATTATTTATATTTTACTCTATCTTTTAGCACGTTTTAAAGTTAAACGATTAAAAGTTTCAAACGTTTTAAAGTTAAAAATTTATTCGATAGTCCTAGAAAAACAACCGCTCTGACAAAATAATAATTTTTTTTCAAATTTTTTTTTAAATAGTCAATAAATCATACAAAACAAAACTTTGATGTCAAATATTTAATATTTGTTCTCAGTTAATAATTTAATTGCTCGTTAACTTAAAGGCAAACGTGCAATTTTTCATTACGTCCGCTGCCAGGAGACAAATATTTCGGCCTCCAATTTATCGGCTGCAGCCAGCTGGGAGGCAAAAGCTATAGGAGGCGGCCTCCAAATGGTTTTGCCTCCAAAATTTCTACTAGAGGCGGCCACCATTGGCTTCCGCCTCTCTCTATTGTTGGGCTGAAAAACATTTTGCCTCCAAAAAAAATCTCTGACTACGACCGTCAATAGATGGCGGATGCCAATAAGGCGAATGCCATCGGAGGCAGATCATAAAAAATTTTTCAGCTAAAAATTAATTGGGAGGCAGCCGCTGTCTGCTGCGGAAGAAAAGTGGAGGCATGAATGTTTACGCTGTTTACTGCGTTTTTCCTTTTTATAAATACTTTTCATTTTTAAAATTTGCTAAAATTGCTTGTGGGTTTCTATTTTTAAAAAAAAAATATTAAAATACTTTGATTAACAAAAAAATTTTGTTTCATATTAATATATCGTAACTCTTTGTAAAGACTAAAAAGTAAAAAATAAAATATAGCAAAAACATTTGCTAAAAAATATAATCTTTTTTGTACTAAAAAGTAGAAAATAAACTTTTTAATTTAAATTTAATAGTTCAGTAAACTAAAGATTGACAGATATGTTTTTATATAAATCTTGCGCAGACCTGTCAATCTTTAGTTTACTGAACTATTAAATTTAAATTAAAAAGTTTATTTTCTACTTTTTAGTACAAAAAAGATTATATTTTTTAGCAAATGTTTTTGCTATATTTTTTATTTTTGTCATCAATATGCATGGTTTTACATTTTTCAAAATTGAATTGCATTTTCCAGTTTATTACCTATTTTTCTAACATAGAAATGTCATTTTGTAAAGCATGTGCATCAGTTTCATTAACCTCAGCTATTACTTTACAATCATCTGCATACAACAACAATTGGTTTGTAAGTTGACTTGGAAGATCATTGATGTATATTAAAAATAAAATTGGACCAAGCACAAAACCTTGTAGTATACCGCTTACTATGTCTATCCATGATGACATAGTAAGTTTTCTCCAAGTACAACTCTTTACTTTCTATCAGTTAAAAAAGAAATTATCCACTTCAATGACGTAGATGTAATGCCATATGCTTCAAGTTTTGCTAATCTCCTATGTTAATCTTTGTCAAAAGTTTTTTTGAAATCAATATAAAGGATACCAAACGATTTACCATTTGCAACACCTGTTGTTACTATATCCATGTACTCTCGGAGATTAGTTGTGCAACTTTTGCACTTTGTAAAACCATGCTGAATAAAAAATAATAAATTGTTGATTTTTAAATAATGTAAGAGTTGGTTAGATATTAAACGTTCTAAAGTTTTACAAAGAATTGAAGTCAATGAAACTGGCCTATAATTTAAAACTTTATTTCTACTGCCATTTTTAAACAGCAACATTATGTTTGCTTTCTTCCATGAAATAGGTACTACACCTTCATAAATTGATTTGTTAAATAATAAATTTAATGGATTAGAAAAAGCATTTACACATTCTTTTAATACAAAAAGATGAATCCCATCTGGTCCAACCGATTGTTTTGAGTTTATAGCATTTATCATATTAATAACTTCAGTTGAAGTAATATTAATAAACTGAAGTGAATTTGAACACTTTTTTTCAAATTTTGTTAAAATATCATCTTTATCTCCTATAAATACTGATTGAAAATATTCATTCAAAGTATCAGCGATCTGCTTTTGGTCCATAATGATGCTTGAATTAGAATCTTCAATTGATGTTTAATATTTTTTATTTTTATTTTTCTGTTGATATAATTATACCACAGTTTTGGATCTGATTTTGCTTTTTTAGCTATGTATTTTTTGTACTCTATTGTAGCTTTTTTGACTTGTTTATATACTTCTCTTTTTGCTTTATTATATTGGGATTTTTTTAATTTATCCACCCATAAAGAGAATCTATTGATAAACCAGAGTTTATTCTTTTTAATATCATTTATAATCTCTTTGTAAAGAAATTTTTTTCTGTTATTACATTTAATTTTTACTAATGGAATAAATTTTTTATAAGCTGTTTGGTAATGGTAATTAAAAAATTTCACAACAATCATTTATATTTTTGTTCAAGAAAATAGTATTCCAATCTATCAGTTGTATATAGTTTGATATCTCAAGATTTCAACTTCAGCTGAACTTAATTTATCTTCAAAAATTTTAATCTACTCTTGATGTCCTTTGATGATTTCTTCTTGCAACTTTTCTATTCTTTTGACTCATTTCATTAAATCAGCAAATTCAGTTTTTAAACCATTGTTTTTTAATCAAGTAAATACGATAAATAAATTTCACAAGTTTTTTAAATAGTAAAAACACGTCCACTAACTACGTAGCGTTCATGTAATGTGTGAAACATTAAGTATTAGTTTCTTTTATATTAAATATAAAGTTTTTTTTATTTTATAATTTTTATAATATGTAGTTAAAATAGTAATGTAACTTTATATAATAATAGATAATTGAAAGTTTCAACTATTTAAAATTTTATCAATTACAATTTTACTCATTTTTAGTTCTATTTTTACCATAATTCATTTGTTGTTTAATATGTGCTTACATGTTGTGATTAAAAAGTTTAATAAGTGCATAAAAATTAAGTATATAAGTGCAATAATGAAAAATGATTAAGGTAAATGAAGGTAATAAAAAAAAAATTTAGTGTGATGAAAAAAAAAGAGAATGAGTGTGAATATATATGGAAAGTAGGTGGATGAAAAAGACATAAAATAAGGATGAAAATCTTCCATTTACAATACTTCCAACAGTTTTCCTTCTTAACTTGTGTAACATGTTTTTAAATTCATCATATGAACTTAAATAAAGAACAAGTAATATGGTCTTAACTTTTATGCTTAGTCTTTGTCAAATTTTAATAACAGTGGACAACAACACACATTACAGATAGTTATAATATATAATTATTAACAATAATGTATTAATTATTAAATATTGATATAAATATTTTTTTTTTTAAATAATAAACTAAATTAAGTTCAAACATTTATGATAACAAGACTTAAAGCAAGTTGTTAGCTCCTCAAAAATGTTAGCAAGAGTATTAGAAATTTTATTTTAAAAATTTTAAGTATAATAAATCTTTTGGTTTAATTAATATACTACAAAAACATTTTTTTCATGTCTTTATTTTGTCTTATTATTTCATTTGTTTTTTTTTATTTTAATTTTTAGGATATATATGAAACGTTTAATGTTATTATGAGAAGAAAACCAAAAGAAAACAATTTCAAAGTATGTATCAAATAAAATAAATTTTAAATAAACTAAAATATTATTTTTATATTATATCTTCAATATCTTTAAATTAATCTAATAATTTATAATAGTTATAAAAGAACGTTAAAGTTGGGTTTGTTTGTTTTTTTTTAAAAAAAAAAAGATTATTTTAGAAAAAAGTATTAATAACATTTAGTTATGAAATTTTAGTAGTAGTTATGAAATTTTTTATGTTATGTTTCTATTTTATTTTTTTTTTAACTATTTTTTCAGGCTGTTCTAGAAACAATTCGTGATTTAATGAATACACAGTGTTTAGTCCCAGAATGGATACATGATATATTTCTTGGTTATGGAGATCCTGCATCTGCTAACTACAAAAGGTTTCCTTTTTTTTATCTGTTTTATTTTTTATTTTATAATAATTTTTAATCATCAAGTGTGAATTATTTTTTATGACAGTATGCTGATTCTAATACATTTTTTTAACAGTTCCTCCTCCTCTGTCCTCGTTATGGCAAAAAGCTTACAAATTATTCAAATAAATCTTTAATAAAATTATTTATAAATTATAAATTATTTATAGTTAGTTATATATTCTTATTTTTTGTTATAGTGATATAATATTACTTATTCTATTGTTTTATTTTTGTAACTAATATTTTATATTAGTTTGTTCATTAATACTGCTTAATTTACGGCAGATAATAATAGTATTATTAATATTATAATTGTTGTTGTTATAATTACTATTTATGATATTATATCGTTATTATTTTTTATTGTTATTGTTATTTTAATAATTTTTTTTTTTTTTCTTTAAAACTTAACAACTTCAAACTTTCTTCTGGATTTTTGTAAATTTTCTTCTTTTATCTTTCCCATTAGTCTTACCATGACATCTAATTTTCTGGGAGCATGCACTGCATTTACATAAAAAGTTAGTACAAGTTGTTGTGCAACTCAATGTGATGTATATTTGTTTTGGACTCATTCAAAATGTAGCAGGCTTTATAATCATGAGTACAATTAAGCACATTCAAAACACTCAAACATGGCTGTGTGTAAATTGTACTAAAGGTATCTTCATTGACTGATGTATCTGATAATGAAATTAAACTACTCTTCTCTTCAAAAAAAAAATATTGCAAATGGTGATTTGCCTTTATCAACTAAACTCTTTTCAGCATCGGATTTGAATAAAATCTATACTCAATTTAATAAATTTATTACATCACATGCTTCAGTTTTTGATATAGAAAACTGTTCATCTTTTGATGTAGATTGTCAATATTATGACAATAATAAATTTTGTTCTTGTAACTTTGACATCATGTCCTTTTTCCATGTAAAACTCTATGTTTTTTTTCCATTTAAACATATCCTCTTTACAAAAGCACTTTAAAAATCTGAACATTTTATTATCATTAATTAGTTTAGTTACAGAAACAAGATTAAAAAAAGAATCCCCTTCCACACATCCAATTATTATTCAAAATTATAATTTTAAGCACACACCAACCGAATCTTCTTGTGGTGGAACCTTGTTATATTTATCAAAAAAACTGATTTATAAAAGAAGAGATGATTTGATCATATACATACCAAACTATTTAGAATCTACTTTTGTTGAAATAATTTTTCCCAAAAAATTAAATTTTATTGTTGGTTGCATATATAGACACCCTAGCATGGATGGCATGGATGTAAACAACTTCAATAATTAAATGTCTGTCTTTCTCTAAAAAATAGCTACTGAAAATAAATCTGTCTTTCTACTTGGTGATTTTATCATGGATCTGATTCAGTCAAACTCTGACTTTGCAACTTCTGAGTTTTTAAACTTACTTATTTCTCATAATATTTGCCCATTTATTACGCTACCAACGAGAGTTACCATTCTGACCATTCTGCTACAATCATTGACGATATCTTTTCAAATGTAACCGCTAATAAAATTATTTCAGGAAATCTAACAACTTCTATTTCTGCTCACCTATCTCAATTTTTTTATTTGTCCTAATTTCAAAATTATTTATACCACACAATCATAATTTATACCGCAAAAACTCTAATAATTATAATAAAGAATCATTTTGAATCATCTGAATTATTAAGAGTTTATTGGAATGACGCAACCAATAAAAACGATGTTAACTCCAGTTTTGAAGCATTTATTTCTCAAACAACATTGTTGTTAGATTGTCATGTGCCACTCAAAAAAATTAGTATTGAGAGCTAACTTTTTAAAATTAGTATTAAGAGTCATGGATAAAGCAATCATAAAATCAATTTAAATTGGAAATCTTATATAAGGGAAAATGTTAAGGATAAAAGATCCAATAAATATAATTAATCTAAAAACTTTAAACGCTGTAAATATACCATAATTAATTTAATAAAACTGAGTAAAAAAATACATTTAAAAAAATTATTTTCAGAAAATGTAAAAAATCTTTGTGAAACCTGGAAAGGCATAATAATTCTAATAAATGTCACAAATGTCAATAATGTATTTCCGAATTGCTTACAAGTTAACGAAACATACATAACTGAAACAACTAGAATCTGAAAAGAATTCTACAACTTTTTCACAATTATAGCTCATAAACTTAATTCTAATATTCACTCATCTTACATTTGCTATAAAATCTTAAACATCCAAATCTTCATAGTTTACTGATATCTCCAACAAACCACTCAGAAATCTCATCACTTATATCTAAATTAAAACCTAGAAAATTAATAAGTCCTAACGGCATCCCCACAAACATTCTTATTGATTTTAATTCTGAATCTTTTCCTATTCTCTACAAGCTATTTAATATCTCCTTCTTAAATGGAATTTTTCCTGACATTTTGACAATTGTCTTGTGTCATTCCAGTATATAAAAATGGCTCAAAATTCTCATGTACTAACGATAGACCAATATCAATTTTATCTAACATTAGCAAACTCCTCAAAAACCTTATGTATTTTAGATTATACTTATTTCGATGGTGGTGTTTTTATTGACTTACTAAAAGCATTCGATACTGTTAATCATACCATTTTAATTTCTAAACTTGAGCATTACAGAATCTGAGGAGTTGCTTGTTATTAGTTTCAATCAGGGTTGTAAAAAACCTGACCCAGTGGGTTTTTTTGGGTAATTTTGGGTTTAATTGGGTAGATTTTTTTTTTTTTTTTTTGGGTTTTATTTTTTTTTCGTCTCTGTAAAAAAAATTTTTGTTTAATGATATTAAAAAAATTAGTTTTATTTTCTATTTTAACTTTATTTAAAATATATTTTATATATTTTTATTTAATAATTTATAACAAGTATTATTCAAATTAATTTGAAAAAGGTTTTTAAATATAATTTAAAACTGTAATGAAAAAAAAAAATCTCACGTAAAATCTATATGTATTGATTCATTTTAAATTTAAATTTCAATGAGAAATGGAAAAAAGAAGGGTAAAGAATAAGAAGTAGTAACTGAAGTTTTTTTTTTTTTTTATTTTACTTCACCTCCTTAAGGCCGAGAAGGCCACTACAGACAAGGAGGCTACTTATTTTGTGGCTATAACCCTCTCTCAACTCTATAACTCCGAAACAAGAACCTTGACGAACAAGGCCGCTGCGCGGATAAACGAGTTGAGCGCGGTACTACCAGGGACGTGGTGGGGATCGTTTCAATTAAACTTTAAACTTAAAGTTTCAATTAAACTTTAAATTTGAAATTCAAATTAACAAACTTGTTTCTCCGCTAGCGGCCTTGTTTATTAAGATTTGTGTTTAGGAGCTAAAGAGTTGAAAGATGGTTGTAATCATAATAAGGTAGCCTCCTCCATTATAGTGGGCTTCTCTGGTCACTACTACTCATTTAAATTCACCTTGGGAGGTGAATAGCATAAAAGATTTTAAAATCTCAATCGATAAAAATATTTGAATACAAATTGTAATAATGTATTTCCAAATAATGATTCAAATATTAGTAAACCTGGTCTGATAGCTGTTACTGTTGGTTATAATAGTTAATAATAATTTAGTTAGTAATAATAGTTAATAATTATTTTAGTTAATGATATTATAGTTATAATGTTAAAGTTAGTTATAATAGTTCATAAACTTATTAAATATCTTTTTAAAAAAAACAGATTTTCCCGGGTTTTATTGTTTTTTTTCAGGCAGGTTTTATTGGATTTTATTGGGTTGGTTTTTTAATACCAACCCTGGTTTCAATCATACCTTTCAAATCAGAAGCAATTTGTTAGCACTAATGGTTAAAAATCAAATAATAAACTGGTGTTCCCCAGGGTTCTGTTCTTGGCCTTTTATTGTTTTTGATTTATATTATTGATCTAAATAACTCTGTCCACTTCTCATCAGTTCGTTTGTTTGCTGATGATACTAATATTTTGCATATAAATAATTCTCATCATTCCTTCTGTAAGAATATAAACTTAGATCTAAAAGGTTTAGTATTTTTGAATAATTTGCCATTATTTTGATAAAACAACCCTTAAGAATCTGTATTTTGCAATTTTTCATTCTTATCTCAACTACTGTTGTCAGGTTTGGGGACAAATTGGCAACTGTATTATTAATAAACTATTATCAGCTCAGCGCCAATCAATCCGAATAATAAATTTTTAACTCCATAATACAGAAACTTCAAACTTCTTCAAAAAACTTGCTACCAGCACTACCTTGCTACCAGCACTAGTTAGATTTGCTAATCTTTTTTTTGTTTTTAACTCAATAAAAATCTACCTTCGTCTATTACAACCTGTAAATATAAAAATCAAGTTTCAGTGAACACTGAAACTTGATTTATATATTTACATTTAACTAGAAATATCAATAATGGAAAACTAAATGTACCTTCCTATAAAACTTTGAGGTATGGTAAGTACTCAATTACACATCAGTGCATCAGTGAATGGAATTGAAGTCTTGTGTGCATTGTAAATGAGTTTAACAAATTAAAACTTAAAAATAATTCATCTTTTATTTCTTTATTTAAAACAAAGTAAGTTTAAACAAATTCTAAAAATTTTATTTTGGTATTTTTATTATTATTAACTTGTTTTATTTTGGTATTTTTATTATTATTAACTTGTTTTATTTTACTTTTTCTTCTTACTATTTTTATAGAAACTATTGTTTTTGTCATTATTTTTTTTTTTTTTATTACTGCTATTTTTGTTGTTATTATTATTATTATAATTGTAATAAATATTATTATTTTTGCTGTTATTTATGCTCTATTAATAAAGTTATTGTTGTTGTTATTTTTTAAAAAAATGTTACTAATATAATTATTTGCTGCCACTCCTTTGATCAGGTTTCTGCATGAGTGACTCCTTCCTTGTCAATCAATTATTTTATTTATTCTTAATAATGATATTTTGGTTTTATTATTAATAATATTGTAGATATTGTTGTTATTATTATTATTATTGTTATTATTATTATTATTATTATTATTATTATTATTATTATTATTATTATTATTATTATTATTATTATTATTAGTATTACTATATTATTGTAAATTTTGAGGAAAATAAATATCTTGTTGTTGTTGTTGTTGTTGTTGTTGTTGTTGTTATCTCGCTTTACTTATTAAAATTGTTTCTACAAAAATCCATACAAAGTATAAATTCTGCATATTAATAGAGTTAATCAGCTAATTAAGTTCCTCAAAATTGATTATCACAAAAAATATTTTTTTGTTTTCAAATATAAATATATTTTTTCTACATTGCATACCATTTTGCCATGTCAATGTGCATTTTGCACATGGAGCTTTTGTCATTTTTTCTTTCCTATTTCGCTTTACTTGAATTAGTTGACAGTTGATTTGACATTTTTAAAATTTTGATACAGGTAAAAAAAAAAAAAAAAGGTTTGTTTGAAATAAAAAAATTAAGATTTGTTCAAAAAATCTGTTTTTTAATTAATCTAGTTGGAGATGAAATTTTCTTTATTTAAAGTAGAATTATTTCTTTTACTTTAAGTTGCACTAATATGCAATCATTCAGTCGTGTTCATTTATACAATATTCTAATATACAATCATTCAGTCGGTTAATTTGAAAAACTTATAAAGCTTATAAATAATTTAGATTTAAAGAATTAAAATTAAAAATTTTTGTTTTATTTAGGAAAGTTAGTTATCTCAGCTTAAATTAAACTTTAAATTTTTTTAAAAACTATTTGATTTTAATTTTAGAATTTTTTTTTTAATGTTATTTTTATTATTATTTTTATATATATTCATATCACCTTCTTGTTGCCATATTGTTAAAACCTTCTCCTAATCTTTTAACTTTATAAAAAAACTTAACAAACTATGCTACTGCATAAAGAACATGTTAAGTAGGATATCTTCTGCACAGAGAACATGTTAAGTAGGATATCTTCTGGCATGTTGAACTAGAACCAAATGAAAACTGTCACTACTGCATAACTATTAATAAGTACTTTATTTTAAACTTTATAAGTTTATATTATCAAAAAAATTATTTTGTAACAAATTTTTTCCTAACATAAATTTTAAAATGTGAAAATATGTTTTGATGAAAGTCTGATGGAAATAAATGCTAATCTAAAAATCTAATATAGTTTAAGTAATTTTGAAAGTTTTTCAAGCAATCTTAATGTCAAAATATACCTTTATATATTACATTTTGTTAATA